ACCATGTTAATTTCTAACCTAATGCATTCTGTACTGAATCAAGGATAAAAAAAACAACAAAACCGCTTTACTATAAGAGCTTATGTATATAATAGGGTTCTATCCTTCCAATGTGATGCATTTAGATTGCATGATATAGGGTTCTATCCTTCCAATGTGATGCATTTAGATTGCATGACAATTCGATCGTCGCAGTTTCGTACTAGAAATCTTCCTCAGCCTAAACCCTAAACCACTATATATGATTGCATATACAATATCAGTACATATATAAAACTTTGATACAAACAGTTACTGCTAACGAGTACAACTTATCCTTACAAAACCGGCTTGTAACGAACACATGCCCAACTGGTTATATATGCTTTGCTAGAAAATTCGAAAATATTCACTTACATGCTGGTTAGTGAAGTAAAAAAATTCGTGTTTTTAACCCAATTTATAACTTTGGTTTCACAAAGAGTAAAGGTAATTGTAGTCCCTTATTTTGTCAATGTGACTACTCTTTTCGAAGGGTTTACAATCACGAATAGTATCAAAATAACGTAAAGAAAAGCAAAAACATGTGATATGGCAGCACCAGATATAAAAGTTAATGTGAGGAGATGAGATCATATACCCTCTCAATACAAATGTGAGTAATACTATATAGAATTTAATCAATTGTGGAAGAATGATATGATGCTATAAGGTCCCCGCAGGAGGGCACGGGCACTATAGAAATAGAGAAAGGCTTCAAAAGCTAAAGATTCAGTACTTCTTTTTCGCTTTATTATCTACATTTTGGCTAATAATAAAAAGGAGCTACCACCTCTTGTACCCAACTTTTATCAAAACTATTACACATCACAACTAACGTGCCCCAAAAGAATTGATATATATATACATACATACATACATATATATATATATATATATATTCTCTTTGTTCAATTATACAACCTCATTGGATTGAATGAAGAATCAACTTTTATAATTCATCCGTTTTAGGTCGATGGAGACATCTGATTATTTGACATCAAACATATGCAAGGTATACCCTATAGGTTTACGATTTCGTAAGAGAGAAATGAAATGGTACACTTAGACATGTGATTATTTGACATGACTGTTGATTCTAAATATTATAAAGCTTATGTGGCATGTAGGGCGAGTAACTATGAGCTAACTATGTTATTCTTGTGAATGCAAGCAAGCCAACTCACAATTGAGCTCAGTTGGGTGAGTAGAATAGATGTGGTGATGGTGTCTAATGCACTGCTAACTTCTATACTTGTGTGACTACGACTGACGAAGGAACACCTCTTAGCCTAGGGTTCTAGAACCTAAAGACAAGGTTGCACATTTCACTGCAAAGTTCAGAATCCCATGCATGAGGTTTGGCCACCTCAACTATATTCGTGAGAATATAAATGCGCCGAATCGGTATCAAGTTAGAGGGGCACATGTACTCAAAAGAGATGAGAGTTTTTATAGTGAACATGGTTGTGCCATCTGAATGATGGACTGCAAAATGCACTTGAGAGTAACTAATCATAGAACAAAATTCACTTCGCTAGGAAGATAATGAAGTGGCCTTTTTTTAGCAAAGGAATCAAAGATAATTCCTTGGCAAAGATTTGGATAGATAACCGACCAAACTAGAAGTAGTGATGTTCCACCGAACTGAAGTTACTTCCAGAACGATAAGTTCTACAACTCCGATGATGTTCTAACGAATTGAATATGTTGCAGGTTGTCAATCCAGTGATGTTCTGACGAACTGAATATGTGCTGATAGGGGGATGAGGGGGGTTAGGATAATTAGTATTTTTCTCAAGGTTATGAGAAGGTTTCATGTAGAGCGAGGTTTTCACGAAGAACGCTTGAGTTGTTTGTTTGTTGAGTTGATGGAGTTTTTCATGTTGTAGAACCTCTTCTATTTGTAAGGGTGAATTTGTGATGGCCAAGCATGTCGAAATAGAAAAATTATGATATTATTCCAATTCCTTGACATATTCTCTGAACATGCTCAGAATTATTCTCGATCAAAACTCTATCGTGGCCAAATTTCGCCCTCTTCGATTATCTAAACCTAGACTTATTATGCGACTAATTCATTCCTTATTCCACCAGCCACAATCATCAATCCTTAATATATTCTAATCCTTATTAGAAAACATCCCAATCCCCAACATCCCTAACCGGAACTCGGCTACTCCATCAACACTGCATTTTACTTTTGGGTTGAGCACTCCACGATTTGCCCGAGACTCTATTCGGCCAAAAATGTGGATTTAGACCCAAACAATGACATAAGTAAATTTTCCTTGAGACTAAAGATCAATTAATCACATGTCCATAACTTATAAATTTATGTTGTTAAAAAAAAACCTTGTAAATTAATGAACATAATTATGTTTTACGAATGTAAGAGAAAATTGAGTAAAAAACGATACATCATATATTCACAACCTTACAAGTTGACTTGTAAAATCATGTTTTATGGAAAGTTGTCCAACTGGTTGAGGATGATACGTCATATATTCATAACTAATTTTTTTTGTAATGCCCTAAACCTAAACACAAAACTGCAACTACCTTTAATGACTTAAAAAGTTGTGTTTATAAGAGTGTCTAAGGTTATTATCAAAGGATAATTAGTGTATTTAGTGGCTCAAAACAAAATAAAAACAATCAAAACCTAATTGATTAGCAAATTAAAAAAAAAGAAAAATGAATGAAAATGGCTTGAAAACTTTGAATTTTAACGATAAGGACAAAATAAAGGGTAAAGTGAATAGTATCAGGATTGATTTTTTAGTGTAAAAATATGATTTTTCGTTAAAGTAAATTGTACATTGAGCTTCGTTAAAATTAAAAAAAAAATAAATAAATAATCAAATAAATGAAAGAGGGGAGGAGGTTTGAAGAAGAATGATTGACCGGAGGCGACTTTTATATTCCAAAGAAAATGCAAGATTCGAGGTGGCAGGATTGACCGATCTGTAGAAACTTGGAACTCTCACGTGCGATTCCCCTTTGACAAATCCCAAAAATTGGCACACTTTCATACATTCATTTCATTCACTTAATTCCTTGACACTTGTGCCTTCTCTTCTCTTATTATTTAATTTCTATTTATTTTCCTATTTAATTAATTAATTTCCGATTCGATCCCAAATGGTTTACCGGCTATCCCACGAGGATGTAACCCGCTTTTATTCGAGGATGATTATTTTGTGTTTACTTGCTTATTTTTTCGGCTTAATTTGGGAATATTCTTTGAAACTCCACTTTAATTTTATTTTGTTCCCTAAAATTTAATATGTGCCACTTCATTATTATTTTTCATATGATTGAATATCTTAATAGATATGGTGTTGAGTTTTTAGTCATATCTCGGATTGAAAACTCTCTTCTCCTAAATTATTATAAAAGTTTCGAACCCTTTTCATCTTTACTTAATAATAATAAAATTAAAAAAATAAAAATTTATGCCACTTTACATTTTGAAACTCAATTTTTACATTACTTTGCTATACTTCGCTAGTTCCATTAAAAAATATTTAAGTTCGTTGATATGGCATCATTGGATCCACTTATTCCTGTTATAAAATCCCTGTTAACTATTTAATATTTTGAAAATGTTTAAAGAAATTAAAAATCAAACTAAAGAAAGAAAAAAACGCCAACTCTTTCCCTATTCAGTCACTCCGCCTCCGCACTGTGCCGGTGGGAGTGGGGTGGGTTTTGGCTACATTTGGGAAGAACATGTTGCTCTTTTTTTTTTTAACCTTACAGTTTTCAATTTCACTAGATGAAGAATTTAGATTTTCATAGGAACTTTTCTTCTTATTAGTATCTTAATCTCATCAATTGTACAAGAAAAATGAGCATGGCCCTTTTTCCTTGTCCTTTAACATTGTATTAAAGGAAATCTCAAAGAAGATTTCAGAAATTAATATGTTAAATACTTTTAGAAAAGATAAACAAAAATAGAAGTAGATGATTCGGTGCATTATTGCTAGATCTTTAATTTAATGGTTAAAGATGCTATAAAAAAGATATAGTAAATGGTTTGATACATTATTGCCTGATTCTTTTCCATTAACTCAATCAAACATATTTTTTTAGGTGCTCCGTAGTATCTCATACTTTGTATTTTTAATTGTTAGATTTTTGTTTAAAAATAAAAAATTAAGATTTGATGGTTAAAATACCTTAGTACCGACTACTCTGAAAACCCAGAAAGTTTTGATCAATCATAACCCTAATATCCCAAAGAAAGATATAAACGCAATTAAACCGGCCCTCATTCTTTTAAGAAATAATTTGTCTCCATTTGGTTTGATGAGATATTATGTTGGAGTTTGACTCACATGAATACAACAAAAATATATACATGTGATAAGTTCGATTTTCAATTATGACTAACCTCACTCTTATGACGTAATTTTATTATGACTGTGTATGCATGTATGTTGTAAAAGTATCTCTGTAAACATGAGCATCTAATTAGTTAAAAACTATATCACCTTGAGCCAACTTCATAATATACTCTCATGATCCGAATCGTTTATTTTCTAAATTTTCATTCAAATATTTACAAAAATTTGGAATAAGTAATACTTAAGTAGAAGGTAGATGGATAGCTAGAATCACAATTAAAAAAAAAAAAAGGAAATCAACCTAAACATGCCAAATAAAATTTTAACTTGATCTATCAATCACTGAAAAATATACAGAGGTCGTTTGAAAGTGCTTTTAAAATTAAAGAGATTTTAGAGAAATATTTTTGGATTCCAAAATTAAGCACTTGACGTGTTTTCTGTAATAAATATTAGCTAATATTTTTTAAAGCACTTGAAAACTCGATGCGCCCTAAAGTACTTCAAGTGCTTTTATCAGAGTTAATTGAATTTTGCAAAGGATTGTTTTTAAAAATATTTTCACAAAAACCTCCTTCAACTATTTTAAAAGCACTTTTAAACGAGCTCGTTATCCTATATGCCATCCCCTTCTCTCAATCTCAACCATTATATAAAATCTCTCTCCCCAATCCACTCTCTCTTGGTTTTCTCTCTCCTTCCTCAACCCTCTCTCTTCAGTCTGTGTGCAAAGCGGCTCGTACTCCTTCAGGGACAGTGAGTAACCTAACCAAAAACGTACGTGCTTTGTCTCTCTCTCTCTCTCTCTCTCTCTCTCTCATTTGTTTTGTTGTGTGTTATAGTTAACGTGGTCAAAACACACTAGTCTCAGTGATACACAAAAATGCTCGACACTTTCAAGTACCTGATCGGCTCACCCGGTGCCAGCGGCTACGGTTCAAAGAGCACAGCCGAGCAAGTCACTGACGCCTCCGCCGATCTCCACCAGATCACCGCCATCATCACAGGTACTTACGCGCAATCCTCGCCGTCTGATTACAATCAGTTTTCCTTATTTTTAACCGATCGTGTGGTTTTTCGGATTATTTCAGGTGCCACGTCAGGGATCGGAGCTGAGACTGCCCGAGTTTTAGCCAAGCGCGGGGCAAAGCTTGTCCTCCCGGCTCGAAGCCTCAAAGCTGCCGAGGATGCCAAGGCTCGAATCGTCTCCGAGTTTCCCGGCTCGAAGATCATCGTCATGGCGCTCGATCTCAGCTCCCTCGCCTCTGTTAGGAGCTTCGTCTCCGATTTCGAGTCCCTCCGGCTGCCTCTTAATCTCCTTATGTAAATATTCTCTTTCTTTCTTGTTTTCTGCTTGGTTGCCGAGAAAATGCAAGAAAAGAAAAGAAAACGAAAACTGACTGAAAAGGTTTCATTTGTTTGTTTGTCTAAGAAACAACGCCGGAAAGTTTGCGCACGAGCACGCGATTTCCGAAGACGGAATCGAAATGACCTTTGCTACTAATTATCTCGGTAATTATAACTTTTACTCCGACTAAAGCTAAAATTAGTACTATTTTTGTATTTTTTATTGAACACGTTAATATTTTTTAGGTCATTTTCTGTTGACGAAGCTGTTGCTCAACAAAATGATCGAAACAGCGGGGGTTAGCGGCGTTCAAGGACGAATCGTGAACGTGTCGTCGTCTATTCATCGCTGGTTTTCCGGCGATATAATCCGATATCTTGGCAATATAAGCCGAAGCAGAAGGTGAGTTATATTATAATATGTGAATTTATTATTTAGTATTATGATTTGATTGGTTTGTGATGCATGAACTATGTTATCACTGTTATTATAACACATAGATTAGTAACATACTGTTATTATTAAACGTTGATTGGTAACATAAATCGATATGAAGAATCGGGAACTGTAGCCGATCGATCGGGTTGGATTTCATTTTGATTGTTTAAATGATTATAATCAATTTGTCTTCGGGAGTTTGACCTTTTTTTTATCTGAATTGGAAAATTTGTCTGGAAGCTTAGCCAGTACGACGAGACACGTGCGTACGCGCTCTCAAAGCTCGCCAACGTCTTGCACACCAAGGAACTTGCTCGCAGACTCAAGGTTTGGTGATTAAAAAGCGATTTTTGTTTCTTTCTTTGTTTGTGTTTTTCTTCAAATTATTGTCCCTAATTTTGTTTTATTTATTTTATTTTATTCAATGTTTTTACTAAAATCAGGAAATGGAGGCCAACGTGACCGTTAACTGCGTGCATCCGGGTATCGTTAAAACCCGCCTCACCCGAGAACGTGAAGGTCTTGCCACAGGTTCGGTTTTCGTCACAAGAAACTGTGAATTGATTAGTTGAAATTTTTGTGTAATACTTTTGTACTAAATGAAAAGGGTTTTTGAATATGTAGATTTGGTGTTCCTCTTTGCTTCAAAGCTCTTGAAAACAATCCCTCAGGTTAGTTTATGAATATTAGGATGATTATGTTGGAGCGTCAGTAACAGTTTAGTTAATTATACTCTTTATGCGATAACTTTAGTTTCTTTGTATGCACTATTGAAGGCTGCTGCGACGACATGTTATGTTGCTACTCATCCTAGGCTGTTGGGCGTGTCTGGGAAGTACTTTGCTGATTGCAACGAGACATCACCGTCGAAGATGGGGTCGAACTTAAGCGAAGCTGCTCAATTATGGTCTGCCTCTGAAATCATGGTGTCCAAGAATTCCAATGCTATCTTTGATCCAACCCACCACTTGGAGTACTAAAACAATGGAAAATTGATCGTCAATCATATATAGAGAAACAGAAAAGCATCTTAATTATATAACTAGCTAGTTCTTACTTCTTAATGTCTGTTAAATTAGCTAGCTAAAATACAGTAGTAAAGTGTAGGAGAGAGTTAAATAGGAAAGAAGAAGGAGAAATATAATTACACAGCTAGCTTTGAACATAAGTGGTAGTTTTAGTGGCATGAATATTTAGATAAGGGAAAGGCTTTTGATGCATGAATATATATTATGAAGTGAATGAATGGTTTTCTTAGTTGGAACCAAGTCATGACCAATGAAATTAAAGTTGTTTATTTTGTTGGTTTCTATATCATTTTTGAGGTGTATGTTATTAGATGATGCCGGTCTTACTCTCTTAGAATATTGGATTGTTCATTGGTGTATTAATTTTTATATAATTTTTCAATACAAGCCATATTAAAGTAGAGAAATTCAAACTTAAAATCTTGAATACAGAGTAATGTTCATAACTACTTAAACACTAAGTCTCTTGCATTCATTAGTGTAGCATATATATATAAAACAATGATTTGAGGTGCTTGGTAGAATTATTTAGAGTTAACTGTGGACTTTGGTTGGAGATCAAAAAGTTCTTTTTTTGATATATTGGATTAGTCATTGGTGTATTTTATATATATATATATATAATTTTTCAATAAAAGTCACGTTAGGGTAGGAAAATTCGAACTTAGGATTTCGAATACAGAGTAATGTTCATAATTACTTAAACCATAAGTCTCTTGCATTCATTAGTGTAGTATATATAAACAATGAGTTGAGGTGTTTGATCGAATTATTTAGAGTTAAATGTGGACTTTGGTTGCAGATCAAGAAAGTTCTTGGAACCCTAGTTTGTGTTAATTAATACATGTACTTATTTCTGGAATAGTATAATATATTTGGCTTTTCTTTACGGAAAATATATCTGTTGTTTTTATTTTTCCTGGACATACATGTGGAGGAAATATATTATGTTTGTCCATATGGACTAGAAGAAGAATATGATGGAAGGGCGTGATTAAGATTTAAGAACATGGGGTCAGTTAGTTGCATGTGGTGGTGGTGGTTGTATTTTGAAGAGTCTTTGGGACTACTGTGATGGGGTCTACTACTAGCATGCGCGCTGAGTCTGGTGACTGTAGCTGATGCATGCGTTCAAGGAAAGGAAATTCCAAGTTCTCAAAAGCTTTTCCAAAAGGAAACTTTGGAATCCAAATGTGTTTTTCGGTGTTACATGATCCACAAAATTTTTCTTAGGTAGACAAGGTACAAGGTTTGTCGGCGAGTTGGGTTTTAGTGATGGTTGTGCCGGAGGATTTAAAAGGAAATTGGGATAGAAAAATTTAAATGAAATGAGTGAATTTAGGTCAAATGAGTTTTTCTCCGTGTGTTCGCGCACACCTCTACTGCCTGCCCTGCCCCAGCCCCCTTCCCCATCTGGATGGGCAAAATTGGGTACTTGCCATACCATATATGAATCCCCTCTTGCATCCGTGATACTGTTTCCGGTTTATATAATTCGTACACTTATTTATCATGTTAACTAGTACTGTGTCCTATGTTCATAAAATATTAATCATCTTGTTTTCTTATATTATAATCATTAATACATAAATTAACAAAAACAATCGTGGATTATTTTGTGAGATGCTCACACTAAAGCATTTCTCCAAATAAATAAAGGAAAACATCAGAGGGAGACACCTTTTATTGCAAAGAAAGACAGAAGGGGTCTCTGTCTGTGAAATGGTAATTAGGTCGAAAAACATAAAGCCGCGGTTTACAGAAACCCTAGATTGCTATTAATTGTCTCGATCAGAAGGACTTATTGATGCTTCCTGTTATCTATTTGGACACGAATTCCCAAGGCCAAGGCTAAATGCAGCATGCAGATCAGACACTGAGCAGTTAATTGTCTGAGTCTTGTCTCTCCAAATTAATATGATCTCTGCCTCTGCGTAATATTTTTCATGCTCTGATTATTGTAGTCGTTAAATTAAGTCTACTATTATTGTGTTATGACTTGTGAGTGCATCTTAGTTGATTATTGGGGTTGAGTTGGGTTAAGCTATGTAATGAATCAGCAATATTATGATGTCGAAGTCGTATTATGAGAGTTGAATATGTGACATGTATAAGTGAAGAGAAGTATTACTAAACCGCAATGCTAAATAAAGTGAGGCCACAATAGACTTGAAGAGAACACGAGAGGGATGAAGGTGCTCGTTTATGAAATTTCTATTATTTCGTTCCTTACATATGGTATAGAGAATAGCTGGAGGCACAGCTTCCTGCACATTGTCGTCAAAGTTCCACCATATATCAAGAATTCTAGGTTTAAAAAGGATCGCAAACTTTTCAACATGTGTGAGAATACTCTTGGAGCTAGAAAGTAAGAAATTTTTTTAGTTACATAGTTACAATCTCTAAAATTAATTGTAACATACGTCCCTGATTGAATAATTATTACTAGGGTTCTCCACACATCAAAATGTATATTTGTCACTATTTCTCCCACAGGCTTGGTAACTCTTGGTAGCTGCTCTCTCAGTTGATATCAATGTTTGAAAAGAGACGTCAAATTCTACAAGTTTTGTGTCTTATTCATACTTTTTGTAGACAGCCAACCACCAACGAACCTCAGAGATCCTTTGAGCGAGCTCTACACCCTTACGCATTTCTGTTACGAGATTCTCTAGTTCCTTATTTGAGAGATACAGCACTCCGTTATGGTCTGCTATAAAGTCTATACATGGCTGAGTCTAGCGTGTATTAGTTGAATATCAGAGTACCCTACCAACAAACGAACAAACCAACTATAAATTAATATAATTTTATTAAACGAATGAAAGATTGCCATAACGGCTACATAACTTAAGATGCTACATTGTGAACAACTTAACTTATTTTACAAGTTACAAAGCATCATATATATAGAAAACTAACATAACCCTAATATACAAGAAAATGAAACCCTAATTCTAACAGGCTAAGTTCAAATTCAAATAATCCTAAATTCCAACAACGTCAAACTCATGATGGTGGTACACGACAAGAGTTTGCCAACAAGAAGATGTGGATGCAAACTCCATTAGGTGAACACAACAAGGCAAGCTCCATTAGGCGAACACGACAAGGCAAGCTCCATTCAGTGAACACGACATGACAAGCTCTGTTCGGCGGACACGAAAAGGCAAGCTTCGTTAGGCGGACACGACAAGGCAAAGCTTTGTTAAGCAGACACGACAAGGCAAGCTCCGTTAAGCGGACACGACAAGGCAAGCTCCGTTAAGCGGACACGACAAGGCAAGCGAGCAAACAATATTCAAGTGAACAAACAAGCGAGCAAGCATTCAAGCGAACAAACAAGCAATTAAAATGCCTATCCAAACTTTCGAACAAACGGAAATCCAATTCACCACGTACACAACTTCACTCGAGTGATCACAAATCCAAGCATTCGAGCAGTTGATGTGGTGGGCAACAAGTTCCAAACACAAACACAATAGCAACAACACGTTTGCCTCAACAAAAAGGAACAAATACTGCCCACCAACTCTTTTCCACTAGAAACTTTTCACGGGTCAACAAACTTTTTTTTCTTTGCTTTCCTCCTCTCTGTGAACAAAGTTTGGTAACAGATGGTGGGTGCGGCGGTGGCTGGGTATAGGGCAAGCAAGTTCATGTCTAGGTGCGGTTATGGGACGACATCAGGTTACAAGTCCGAGCAGCAATGGTCCCGGTGGGTTCAACGGATTCCAGGTAGCAATGGGTTTCGATCTGGGCTTCAAAAAAGTTGCCAGGCAGCGGTGGTGCGAATCGAATCAGGCGGTACAGGTTGTAGCAGCGAGTGCGACGGCCGATTCGTGCAGGCGTGGCTGGTCTTCAAGAAACAGGAGTCATAGATCACCGCTTGTCAACAGAAACGGTGACAAACACAATATCTGAACAACAAACGCGAAACAGTAGCAGCTCGCTTCAGACTTAAGGCTTCGAGCATATTCAACTCTTTTCTTTTCTTTTTTTTTTTCTTTTTTTGTGGTAAACATCAAAGCCCTAATCTAGAACATAAACATCGAACATACAAACAGCTCATAGCCATCAAGAGTAGATTAAATTCCAAAAGATCAAACCTACTATGATACCAAGTTGAATATCAGAGTGCACTACTAACAAACGAAATGTTGAATTATAAGTGTTGAGCTGAAAAGTTTAGAATAAGATTTCTTAAATTGGTGTATCCACTTGTGCAAAATAATGCCAAGTGTAAAGTTCTGTTTTTGTAAAAGGCCATGAGTGTCATGTGTTGGTTGATCCATGTAATTAGATAGATCAGTGGCTAAGATAAAATGCAGTGTGTGTGTGGTCCAAGTTAAGGCCAATGGTTATGTAAAAGCGAGTGGTGTGTGCTCCTTATTTTTTTCCTATAGTGAAAACATCTCTCTCTGCAACTTTTACGAGTGTGAAAAGAAAACCATTCAGTTTCCAATTTGTTCATTCTTGTTCTTTGTTCAGCTTTCTCTCTACTAGGTCTAAACCCATTGAATTCATTCACACTAACATGGTATCAGAGCCAGGTTGGATTTAAGAATTTGGGCGTAAATCTGTGAAGTTATCGAGCTCAATCGAAGCTCCCTTGAAGCTCCGTGAAGGTTGTCGATTCAGATCAAAAACATGTCTGGATCTGGAGGCTCGAAAGTGAGGACTCCAATTTTCTTCGGTGAGAACTACGAGTTCTGGAGAATTAAAATGGCAACAATATTCAAATCTCTTGGGTTATGGAATCTGGTAGAGAAGGGGATTACAACCTCCAATCCGAAGAAGAAGAAAGCTGGAGAAGCATAGGAGGATGATGAAGAAATGGTAGCTGTTTTGATGAAAGACGCAAAGGCTTTGGAAATCATTCAGAATGCAGTCTCAGATCAAATCTTCCCACGAATCGCCAATGCCGAGTCAGCTAAGATGGCATGGGATTTGTTGTACGGAGAATATCATGGTGGTGATCAGGTACGATATGTGAAATTGCAGAATCTTAGAAGAGAATTTGAATATGCTAGGATGCGAGATGATGAGTCTTTATCTAGCTATCTTACACAGTTGAATGAACTAATTAATCAGATGAGAACATTTGGTGAATCTCTGTCAAATGAGAGACTTGTGCAGAAAGTTCTGATTAGTCTCAGCAAACCTTATGATTCTATCTGTTTGGTTATAGAAAATACAAAGTGTCTAGAGACTGTAGAATTGCAGGAAGTAGTTGCAATCTTAAAGAGTCAAGAACAACGGTTTGATC